CGACGCTCGCCCGCGCCGGCCGGTCTCCCACGCAGTGGGCGGTGGGCGCCTGAGCCCAACGCTCCGGGAGTGGAAGGCCTCTCCGCGCGGCGCTCTCCTGCGGGCACACCGCGGCGCGCCTTTGCCACCCTCACCTCGGGCGTGGGGACGCCGCCGCGGCCGCACTGTTCCCATGGGTGACCCTCTGGAGGGTGGGTCGTGGGGGTCCTGGCGGCTCAGGCCCTACCGATCAGGCTGGGGGCTCCGGGTCCAGGCCGCTCCCACCTGCTGGCCGCGGCGGCCAATGAGAGCCTGGTCTGGTGATGTCATGCCCCGACCGGACCCTGGTGACGAAAGTCCCAGGTCACCCGTCAGGGAACCAGTGCAAACCCACCCGCGGGGGTTCCGGAAGTTTCCACTGCGGCAGCGGAGTGCGGCCTCGCCCCGCAGCCTTGCGCGTGCCACCACGTTTGGCCTTCTGGGGTGTCCCCGAGTCACCCCCCCCCCCCCCCCCCCCGAGGGTCTTCTTCCGTGGGCCCCCCCTTCATTTCCACTCGTGATCTCATGGTCTCATCTTCATTCCCACAGGTGTGCCCTCATCCCCCAGGAGTGTCGCACGTCACCTTTTCTCCCCTAAGGGGGTCCTCAGCCACACTTTCAACGTGCCAGTCCTCCCATGCCACCCCCACCTCCCGTGTCGTGGCCAAGGATGTTCACTTATTCAGCCCCAGCCCCGACTGAGGTTGTCAGTGTGTCCGAGCGTGTGTCCGTCCGTCTGTGAATGTCGGTCTCTGTCTGGAGCTGTCACTGCATGCGAGTGTCCGTCTGCGTGTGTCTCCGCAGCTTCTGTCCGTCTGACACTGTGCGTGTCTGCTCCGCCGCGGCGGGTCTTTCGGTCGTGTCACCGTTTGTCTGTCCGTCTGTCGGCGTCTGTCACTGGAACCCGTCTGGGCCCCGGGGTCTCCGGGTCTCGGCTCCGAGGGAGGGAGAGGGAGGGCAGGTGGCAGCCCGCTGAGGCGGGGAGGGGCGGGGGCGGAGACAGTGGGCGGGGGCGGGGGCGGGCGGGGGCGGGCGGGGGCGCCGTGCCGCCCGGAGGGGGTGTGTGCGGGGGGCCGGAGGCGGCGGCTGTCAGAGTCGGCTCAGCCTGCGCCGGGGAACATCGGCCGCCTCCAGCTCCCGGCGCGGCCCGGCCCGGCCCGGCTCGGCCGCCTCAGGTGAGTCTCCCGCCTCGGCCGGGACCCTCCCCCGGCCCGCGGCCCATTCCGCGTCCGGGGAAAATGTGCGCTCTCGGAGGGATCCAGGCCCCCAAACGGGACGCCCCCCGCGCCCCCGGGCCTGCCCAGCGACGCCCCCCGCCGCCCCACACTCATCCTTAACTCTTGCCTCTCCGCCGAATACTTACGGTCGCCCGCGCGGGAGCCTGCACCCCGCGGGGCCGGCCGCCGCCTCTGCTCTGGAATTCCTGTGGGGACCCCCGAGCGTCCCTTCCCCCGCCCGCCCAAGTCTGAGACCACTGGCCGACGCCCCCTGCTTGGGGCGGAACCCGAGCTGCGCAGGTTCCTGGCGCCGGGCTGGCTGCCCCCCCCCTCCAGATCCCGCAACCGCAGCGCCCCTGCGCAGCGCCCAGCCGAAGCCCCCTTCCAGGCCCAGGCGTCCCCCTCCCACGGGGACTCCGTCTCTATTTTGGGGAAAGGGGAGGCTCAGCGGAAGCCCCGAGTTATAATTAGCCTCACTCGGGTTTCCTAGTTAATCTCCAGCACCACCACCACCACCCCCCAGCCGCAGGGCGGCGGGTGTTGGCTGGGTGAGAGGTGACCGCCGGGAGAGGGGGGGAGTTCCGACCCGGGGAATTTTGATCCCTTGGCTGGAGATGCCGGAACCGCAGCAGCTGCTGCCCCAAAATAGCCCCCTCGCCCCTGCAGCCGGGGATCTCCGGAGCTCCGAGAAGACAGGCGTCCGGGTTCGCCCTTCAGACCCCTCCGCAAGGCCCGCGAGCCTCCAGACCCCCGCCCCAAGTTCCCGGCTCCCGGACTCGGGGCGGGGAGCGCCGTCCTTTTCTCGGTCTCTACTGCCCCCCACTGGCGGCAGCGTGCCCCTCCGCATCGGATGGATGGGGGACTCGAGTCCTGGGGGGGACGGGGCTGACGAGCCTGTTCCCTGAGGCTGGGCGAGGCGAGTGCGCAGCTGACCGGCACCCACGGGTACCCCGTGCCGGACAGTGGATGAGGAAGGGCAGGGTGGGGCAGGGTGTGGAGTAAGCGGGATTTGGGGTGCCCCGGGACCTGCAGCTCCCACACCCTTGAATGCCCAACCCACCCCCCAGGGTCCCCGACCCTGGCCAACGCCAGAGAGCCTGCGCCTTCACGCCACCGCAAGCTTCCCCATCAGCGCCTCCCGTCAGTGAGGGCCCCGCCCCTGTCGGGTGGCCTGTGTGTGGACTGCGATCTCTGGTGTGGGTGCCCACACTGCTCACGCCGGACCCAACGCAGTCCACCCCGTTGGGGGAAGGAGGTGAGGGTGGTGGGCCCTCTGTGGGGCAGCTTCGGGAAGGTATTGCCCCCATCTCTGGCCTCATCTGGGTTCCCTGCGTTCATCTGTCTGGGTGTTGTGTCTGTGTGCCTGTCTCTGTTCCCTCTTGCTTCTCCCTGTCTGTGTCCTTGTCTCTGCCTGTCTCTCTCCATTTCTCTCCCAACCTGCCCCACCTCCTCTGCAGCTCAGTGATAACCCCTGGGCAAGAGTGTTACCTAATCTCCTTGCTCCTGGCAGCCTCCGGCCTTCACCCTCTGCCTTTCTTTCTCCCAGCAGAGCCTGCCTGCCCTGGCAGCCATGAGGCCCCCCTGGTGTCCCCTGTACACGCCCTCCCTGGCTGCCCCAATCCTTCTCCTCCTCCTCTTCCTCCTGGGAGGAGGGGCAGAGGCTGAGGACCCAGAGCTGCTGGTGACGGTCCGTGGGGGCCAGCTGCGGGGCGTCCGCCTAATGGCCCCTGGAGGCCCTGTCTCTGCTTTTCTGGGCATCCCCTTCGCAGAGCCACCTGTGGGCCCCCGTCGCTTTCTGCCACCGGAGCCCAAGCGGCCCTGGCCAGGGGTGCTGGACGCCACAGCTTTCCAAAGTGTCTGCTACCAATATGTGGACACCTTGTACCCTGGCTTCGAGGGCACCGAGATGTGGAACCCCAACCGCGAGCTGAGTGAGGACTGTCTCTACCTCAACGTATGGACACCATACCCCCGGCCTGCGTCCCCCACCCCTGTCCTCGTCTGGATCTACGGGGGTGGCTTCTACAGTGGGGCCTCCTCCCTGGACGTGTATGATGGCCGCTTCCTGGCCCAGGCTGAGGGGACCGTGCTGGTGTCCATGAACTACCGGGTAGGAGCCTTTGGCTTCTTGGCCCTACCAGGGAGCCGGGAGGCCCCAGGCAACGTGGGTCTACTGGACCAGAGGCTGGCACTGCAGTGGGTACAGGACAACGTGGCAACCTTCGGAGGAGACCCAATGTCAGTGACTTTGTTTGGGGAAAGCGCCGGTGCCGCCTCAGTGGGCATGCACCTGCTGTCGCCTCCCAGCCGGGGCCTGTTCCACAGGGCTGTGCTGCAGAGCGGTGCACCCAATGGCCCCTGGGCCACAGTGGGTGTGGGAGAGGCCCGTCGCAGGGCCACACTGCTGGCACGCCTCGTAGGCTGTCCCCCAGGCGGTGCCGGTGGCAATGACACAGAGCTGGTCGCCTGCCTGAGGACACGGCCAGCTCAGGATCTGGTGGACCACGAGTGGCACGTGCTGCCTCAGGAAAGTGTCTTCCGCTTCTCCTTCGTGCCCGTGGTGGATGGAGACTTCCTCAGTGACACACCCGAGGCCCTCATCAATGCTGGAGACTTCCACGGCCTGCAGGTGACTAGTGGCTGGACGGGGTGGAGCTGACTCCTCTAGGCCTGTTCTCCCATACCCCACACCCCCAGGGACCCAGGCATGAAGGCACCTCAAGACCCAACTCCCAAAGGCCTGGGCTTCTGGCCCCTGGCCAAACCCTCCTCCCTGAGACCTCAGATCCCAGGGTGGTCAGTGGGACAGAGAGAAAAGGAAACGTGGGTACATTTTCTCTTTCTCTCTGTCCCTTCCCCAACCTTATAGTCTCTTCCTCCGTGGTTCTGGGTCTATAACTATTGCTCTCTTTGGCTCTTTGTCCATCTGTTTCTGTCTGCCTGTCTGTCTGTGCCCCCCCCACCCCGCCCCCTTCCTCCATCCTGTCCCCCCAGGTGCTGGTGGGTGTGGTGAAGGATGAGGGCTCCTATTTTCTGGTTTACGGGGCCCCAGGCTTCAGCAAAGACAACGAATCTCTCATCAGCCGGGCCCAGTTCCTGGCCGGGGTGCGGGTCGGGGTCCCCCAGGCGAGTGACCTAGCTGCCGAGGCTGTGGTCCTGCATTACACAGACTGGCTGAACCCTGAGGACCCCGCACGCCTGAGAGAGGCCATGAGTGATGTGGTGGGCGATCACAACGTCGTGTGCCCCGTGGCCCAGCTGGCTGGGCGACTGGCTGCCCAAGGTGCTCGGGTCTATGCCTACATCTTTGAACACCGTGCGTCTACGCTCTCCTGGCCCCTCTGGATGGGGGTGCCCCATGGCTATGAGATCGAGTTCATCTTTGGGCTCCCTCTGGAACCCTCGCTGAACTATACCGCCGAGGAGAGAACCTTTGCTCAGCGACTGATGAGATACTGGGCCAACTTCGCCCGCACAGGGTCAGTAGTACTGAGGGGAGGAGGGCCTCCGGGAGCCAGAGAAGCAAGAGCAGGGGACACGGGGAGAGGCAGACAAGCAGAGACAGGGCCAGAGAGGGGGGGAAGTTCACAAAAGAAAGGAGACTGGAGAGGACAGCAGGGAGGCAGCTCCTGAAGAGACAAGGACAGAGGGGGAGGGAAGCAAAGAAAAGAGAGACAAGGAGACAAAGGAGTTACCATAGTACTGAGGAGCTTGAACTGTAAAGAACTGGATTCAATCGGCCCAGTGGTGACTGTGGCAGCTGTGTGGCATGCACATATGCACGGATACTCACACACCAGTTTACCTGTCCCAAAAAGGGGACCGGAAATCGGACAGCACATGGGTGTTGGCAAAAGCAAACAAGATGTTTGTAAGAAAGAGGACTGGGCCTGGTTACATAGTAAGGGCTCAGTTTTTTAAGTGGAGAAACAAAGACAAAGATGGAGGGGTAAAACAAGGAAAGGCAGAAAGAGGGAGGGCAGAGGAAAGGGTTGGCTCCAGATGATGGGGGATTCGGGAGACCAGAAGGAGGGCCGAAGGCGGTGGGAAGGAGGGGATGGGCTCTCCACGGAGCAAAAAAGGGCACGGCGGCGGGGTCGGGGTGGGGGGGGGGGCGGTCAGGAAGCAGCCCGCCTCCTCCTGCTCTGGGTCTCCAGGCCACAGTCCCAAGGGCAGGGGAGGGGGAGGCAGGCTTGCCCCAGGCTGAGCCTGCCCTTTACTTCCGAAGGGACCCCAATGACCCCCGAGACCCCAAAGTCCCGCAGTGGCCACCATACACGGCGGGCGCGCAGCAGTATGTGAGCCTGGACCTGCGGCCGCTGGAGGTTCGGCGAGGGCTGCGCGCCCAGGCCTGCGCTTTCTGGAACCGCTTCCTACCCAAATTGCTCAGCGCAACCGGTAGGCAGGGGCCAGCGGGCAGGGGCTGGCGGGAGAGGGCAGAAAGGGGGAGTGAAGAGAGAGAGGGGAGTGGGAGCGGGCCGGGTGTAACCCCTCTCTTCTCCCCCCCCCAGCCTCGAAGGCTCCCAGCACCTGCTCAGGCCCCGCCCACGGGGAGGCTGCCCCGAGGCCCAGGCCCGGCCTTTCCCTGCCCCTCCTTCTCCTCCTCTTCCTCCTCCTCTCCCGACTCCTGCGGCTGTGACCAAGGCCACTTACCCCTCCGGCCTCAGGGGGCCCCTCCTCTAATGAGTGGTCGGACAGTGGGGAAGGGCCCCACTCAGGGATCTCCGACCCAGCGCACCCTCCTTCCTCAAACAGAGAGACTCAAACTGGCCAGTGCTGCGAGGGGGTGGTGACTTACGACCCGTCTCAGGGACCCACACGACTTTGTTGTTTAAATGGAATTATTTGGAGCCTGAGCCGGGGGGGGGGGGGGGGGGGCGGCGGAGAGGGAGGGCCAGGAGCTAGATAGCACCCCCTTGAGGGGCTATAACGGTCAACCATTTCTGTCTCTTCTCTTTTCCCCACCGACCCACGGATCCTCCCTCTTCTGATCCTTTCTGCCCCCCTATCTTCCGGTCATTTTCTCCTCCCTCCGCCTTCCTTCCCGCCATCCTTCTCTGGCTCCGCCTCCACCTTCATCCTTCCTCTGGTCTTCGTCTTTCGCGTATTCTTCTGGTCTTCTTTCCACCGTCCTACGTGCCATCCTGCGTTCTCCTTGTATCCTCCTGCACTCACGCCCCCCACCTTGTACGTTCCCCGACCTTCCCCTTGTCCTCCTCCAACCCATTTGCCGGGCGCCCTGGCCGCAGACACGCTGGACGAGGCGGAGCGCCAGTGGAAGGCAGAGTTCCACCGCTGGAGCTCCTACATGGTGCACTGGAAGAACCAGTTTGACCATTACAGCAAGCAGGATCGCTGCTCAGACCTATGACCCAGACTGGACCCCCACGTCTCCCCGCCCTGCCCGCCCCGTCCGGCCCCCTAGCTGTACATACTATTTATTTAAGGGCTGGGATATAACACAGAGAAGCCCACCTCCCCGACTTTCCCCGGAGGCTCCCCGTCCTCTGCCTGTTCCGCCCCCCCCGCGGTGCCTTGGCCCCTCTGGGCTGCCAATAAACTGTTACAGCCACAGGAGTGTGCGCGACTAGGGAGCGGGGAGAGGGCCTCAAACACCAGGACTGAGTAGACGGAGGGGCGGGTGCAGAGCTGGGTGAACTTGCGGATCTCTGTAGTGGGGCGGAGCGCGCCCGCCCCGCCCCGCCCTAGGAGGCGGGGCTCGCGCCCGCGCAGTAACCACGACGGCGGCGCGGCGGTGCATTGTGGGAGCCTCGGGGATCGCTGTCTTCTCAGCCCACGCGGGTCGCGCCTCTGCTGCCGCCACCGGACACCGGGCGAGAGCGTCCGCAGAGCCCGCGCGCCGGTCCTGCCTGCGACTAGCCCAACACCCAGGGTAGAGAGGGAGAGTTGGAGCCGGAGTTCCCTCCGCGCCGCCAGGACACATCAGCCTGGTCTCGGCCACCGCCGCGCCCGCCGACCGCCCTGGAGCCGCTGAAGGACGTCCACCTGGGCTTGGCCCCGCCCGGCCGCGGCCCCGCTCGCCTGGCCCTCCTCTCGGGCCACTACCTTTACTATCACTACGGCTGCGACGGCTTGGACGACCGGGGCTGGGGCTGCGGCTACCGCACCCTGCAGACGCTGTGCTCATGGCCAGAGGGCCGGCCCGCGGGCGTGCCCGGGCTGGCCGAAGTGCAGGCGGCCCTGGAGGACATGGGCGACAAGCCCCCCGGGTTCCGGGGCTCCCAGAGCTGGATCGGTTGTGTAGAAGCCAGTCTCTGTCTCGACCACTTCGGAGGGCCCCAGGGTCGCCTATGTCACATACCCCGTGGAGCAGGGCTTCAGGGGGAACTGGAGAGGCTTTACTCCCACTTCGCAGGGGGCGGGGGGCCTGTAATGGTTGGGGGGGATGCGGACGCCCAGTCCAAGGCCTTGCTGGGGGTTTGCCTGGGATCAGGCACGGAAGCCTATGTTCTGATACTGGACCCTCACTTCTGGGGTGCCGCGAAAAACCCTAGTGAACTACAGGCTGCTGGGTGGGTGGCATGGAGAGAGGTGGGTACAGCCTTTGACCACAACTCCTTCTACAACCTGTGTTTGACCAGCCGCAACTCCCAAAAGCAGCAGCACGCACTGGACTGAGGCTAAGGTCCCAGAACTGAGAGGTCTCTGGCCCCAAACACAGTCACCTACCCCCTTTCTTAAATGTAAAAGCTACCCTGGGCCTTTGAAGTCCATAAAATGGATGGCCCGAGCCCATCTTGGGGGGGGGGGGGATTTGGGGTGGTATGTAATAAACAGTCAGTCACTATGGAAGTGCTTTTATTGGCAGTAGGGTTGAACGTACAAAAAATTCTCAACTGGATGGGAGGAGGCAGTCACAAGTATAGACAATACCAGGAATGAGGAAAAGCTCAAAAGAAATCCACATCATCTGGAGCATCCAGGTCACGGTACTCCACAATAGCCCGTGGGTCTCCTCGGACCATCCTGGGAGATAAAAAAAGAGGTAAGATGGAAGGAGGGTTGAAGGTCCCTAAAAGAGAGCTTAAAGAGGGCAAGAAAGCTTGCACGTCACGTCTTAGCTCATTCTCACCTGTTTCGAGGCTTCCCAGGATAACCTCCTTGGCCTCGAAAGGCATCATAGTTCCCTCGACCAGCACCATAGGGGGCATGAGGGTATGGAGGCCCTCCTGTGGGGACTGCAGGGCGGACGGCACCAGCTATGAGAGAGATCAGTGTTGAGTCGAAAACCTGTGACCTCAACTACACCTTGGTTAAGTTCCCTTTCTCCCAGCCCCTCATAATCCACCAAGGCTTTTCATGTCCCTCCTATACTTACCTCCATAGCCCAAGATGGGGGGCCGGGGCTGACCATAGGGCATCAGGCCCTGTGGAGTCTGGTGTGGGTAGGGGAGTCCCGGGGTCAGGCCTGGGGGGAGTACAACATGGACAGGAACACGCATCCCTGCGGGGGGGGGGGGGGGGGAGGCAATGGGGAATGACAACTGGCTTTTAGGAATATGGCCTGAGAGTGGGATACAAGTTTTCAGAGGACCACAAGGTATGAGAACCAGAGTCCTTGGATAGTCAAGGGAGAGGGAATGTGGCAAGACCCTCATGGATCGTATCTTACTCTGGGCAGGGCCAGGTGGCTGGGCTGGCTTGATCTCGGGCAGAGCTGGGCGCTTGGCATCAGTGAGAAAGTTGTTAAAAAACGCCACCTCCTTCTTCACTTCCTCAATTTTCTCTGCATGCTTGTTGAAGATATGTTTGCGTACAAACTCAGGGCCCTGAGTAAAGAGGAAAAGGGTCAGAACACGGCAAGCAACGTGGAAGGATGATCACACCCCCCCCCCCCCCCCACCTATTCCACGGAGCCCATTCCTCCCCAGGCCTGAGGAGGCTTCTGGCTCTACCCCCTCCTCCCACAGGTCTAGCGCACAACTCCCTAACATCCCAGACCTTGAATTTCTTGCCACTGAGAGGGCATAGCCACTTATCCTTGCCCAGTTCCTGAGTGTTAGAGGTGACAAACTTTTCCACTTCCTGCTCGGGGTCTTTGCGACCCATCTTCTGAGCCTCTTCCTCTGAAAGAGATTCCCGTACACTCAGCAGTGGAGCCAGCTTCTCCTCGAATGTCTTCTGCCACTCTAGCACTGCGATTTGGAACAGACGACAGGTTGGGGAGGAGAGCCAGAAGCAAGGAATAAGAGATAAGGGGCACCTGGCTGGCTCAGTCACTACAGCACTACAGCTGATCTCAGGGTTGGGAGTTTGAGCCCCACGCTGGCATCAACAATCAAAAAGGAGGGGATAAAAGGAGAGGGGGGTAGGGCACTGCTATCCAAACACATCTAAGGCCAGAGGCAGCTGAAAAGAAAGGGAAACCAAAGGGGAATCAGGACTGGGGAAGCTGGGAGCCCACCTTCTCCATGACTAATGCGGTTGGGTGGCATGGGCCCACGAACGTGGATGATGCCACAGCGGTTGGGCATTTCATCCTCATTGGGGTACTCGCACGTGTTATAATAATCCAGGGAATGCACGATGCGCAAATAGAGGAGGAGTTTGTCCAAAACCTAAGAGAAATGAGCAGCTGTGAGTTCACCACACTCTTGCCCCTCCGATGCTCTAAACCAGGAGGATCCTGCCCGCCTGCTCTTGCCACACTCTGCTCTTGCGGGCACCTTGATCAGTTTCTCATCCCGCTCCACGTTGATCTCTGCCGGGTTCCCCTCCTTAGGGGGCTCCTCAGGGGGGGCCCCCCCACTGCTCCCGAGCAGCTCCTCCTCCTCCGCGCTCACTTCCTCAATCAGATAGTCCGTGATATTCTTCAAGATTGGGTTCTGGGAGGGCAGACTCTGGTGGGGAGGAAAAAGAACAGGTGAGGCAGAGAAGCCCAGGAACCTCTTCACGTGAAGCAGAAAGGAATCCAGGGTTCACTGGGGCCTATTACCACTGTTTCATTGTTTGTCTTTTTTTATTCATTCTATCCCTAGCAAATCATCACTAATGCCAACCTGTCCTGCTGGAAGCTGGAGGTGCTGCCCAGATAGAGAGCCCAAGTACAAGGGGTCAACACTACAGATCAAGTGAGACAAGACCAGAGGTGCCCAAGCAGACGACATGACTGCTTTTGAAAAAGTTCCACGGGGAGTCACTGACTGTTGGCAGAGGAGGTGTCCCAGGCTCAGAGGCCCAGAGCTGGGTCCTGTCATCCAGCGTATGGATCAGTTTGGCTGCCAACTTGATGTCGTTGCGCACGATCTGCTTGTGCTGGGTAATGCCATTGATGTTGCGGACTCGACGGGTCAGGTCTCTGTTCACACCAGGGCTAAGCTCACATTCTCGGAGCTGGAGGGAACAAAAAACTTACCAACACTTGCCCCAAAAAGCAGCAACTCAAAGACGGGCCTACTAATTAGATCAGTGATTAGACTGAGCTCACGGAGAAAAGGGACCAGAGAGGTCTTACTCGCAGTAACAGCCCCAGAGCCCAGCCCAGAGACAACAGCATATTCTTAATGTGAGCAGACTGAGTGGATGAAATAGGGGGCTCGACGGGTGAATCAAAGAACAAAGGAATCCGAGGTTGTGTGCAACTGAGAGCCCATTCTGCACTTACTCGGATATTCTGCAGGTTCCAACAGATCTCTTTGATGTTAACACTGCGGTCAAAGGTCACCCAGCCGCGGCGGAAAAACCTACAAAGAAAGGGTCAGCATAATCCTGGCTGGTGGAGGAGATGCTGGCCATTAGCCTTCCCCTGCACCTTATCTCCAGGGTATCCAGGGTCACTCTTCTCTACATTCCTCACCTCCTCTCAG